GGCCGGGAACCCGGGAATAATCCTTTAATGCTTTTCCAATAAAAAACAGTCTCCCGTATATTTATTGGTTTCTTGTTTTATTACAAATTCCCTTACTTCTAGATAAACTAAGTTTTGTCAGGAATCCTTGCCTTAGTTTTAGTATTACGGAGCCTCAAGTTATTGTTATTCGCTTTTAGCGATTTGTTATAATTCGCGTTCTTCTAGATTTGTGGTCCCGACGGACATACGTCCGTTTCTTTTGACTGACAGTTTTCGACCCGCCGTCGTGATCTCGCGACGGCGATTTTATATGCGCGAAACTGCACTTGATTGCAGTTTTTTTCGATCGAATTTGCTGACGAAATTTGATAGTTCGTCAGCATTGTCACGTTAAAAGTGAATTAGGTTTTAATTTTTGCTGCGCGATTCTTCGGTGTCTCGCATGAGCCGGAAACTGAATATTTGATATCTTAATCTGATATGTAATAGATATCTTCTTATATTTTATTAATATATATATATATTTTATTATTAATAATTGGTTGTGGTTCTTTGGACCCACAACACCGCGCATCAGTGGCACCGTGCAAGCCGATTATTTGATCAAAAACATATATTTCGATCCGACCACAAACATTGCACACGCCGTGTTGAACTGCATAAACATGGAATTCGATGAACAATACACGGAATCATATCAGTTGTGCACCAAATTTCTTGCAATTGCACGAGACACGTTCGACATCGTCCCGTACAACTTGTGGACGGTGAGGAACAAAAAGTCGGATTGGAATGTTGTTTTAACGAGACCGCACAAAACACTGTCTAACGGCCAAGCGCTGACAGTTAAATATGTGCTCGCGGAAACTCGGCGCATCCAAAAAAAGCGGAAAAAGCGAGAGGATACGACGACCGACGATGACGAGGAGAACGACGGCGGCGACGCGGTAACGCCGATTCCCCCTCCGGCTGCGGGCAAAATACGGAGGGATAAGAAGAGGAGGGACGCCGAGAAACGGGCGAAGAATCAGCCGAAAAAGAGGAGCCGCATATCACCATTACCGCCGCCTCCTCCTCCTTCTCCTCCTACTTTTTCTCCCCCTCCCTCTCCCTTTTTTCCTTATTCCCCTTCTCCTCATTCCCTTTCTTCTCTTCCCCCTTCTGCTCCCCCTTCTCCCCCTCCCCTTTCTCCTCTTCCGTCTAAAGCTCTCCCCTTAGAGGAGAAGTCTCAGAGGAGGCTGCAAAAAAGAAAGAGAGAGAGCACTGTGGATTTAGCATCCACATCGTCCTTGTCTCGCGTGAGCAGGAGAAAAAGAAACGCGCCGAGTATGCCGGCAACATCGTCGACGGAGAGCAAAAAACAGCTATCCAAACTTCTGTACTCCAAATCTATTATCAGCAGACACGACATAGCAATAATTGGACACGCTTTACACACACGCCAAATCCATAACTTAAAATGTTGGCGTGAACCGGCGCTGCAACGGCCAGATTTGTTCAAAAAATTTTGCTCCACCGAAATTCGCGCAAGGTGCAGAGAGATAGCCCGTGGTACAGTTAACCCGGATTTCGCTGCAGACTTCCACGAACAAATAATAGCGTTGAGTCTATTGGTGCAACAAAGTCGATAGATAAATAATTAATAAATTGTAAATATTGTAATAATTGTAAATAAATTAATAAATAGTAAATAAATTAATGTAAACAAAATATATGAATATTGATAAGTTAATATATACAGGTTTTTTTATGGGTTTAATACCCAGTAAACATTCGATATCCTATGTACTCTGGCGACGATGTGCCATCTTGACGTGGTGCCAGAGCTCCCTGGGCCAGCGATCTCCTTATTCATGTGGGAATTTGTTTCTGCATGGATGGGAGGGAGGCTCGGGGTCTAAGAGCACATCTAGGAGAAGGAAACTCCGAAGGTAAACCCGGGCAGGACGGACTCGTAGTTCTGGTCAACAACCGTCCTAGTGAAAGGAAAACCACGATAAGAAACCCGGAGAAGAAAACGGAGGAAATAAAGAAAAAATACCGGTTAGGACGACAATGACTAAAACAAGAATTTATTCTCAAAATATCTCGAAAACTAAAGGTCGCAAGGAGGTGGTTCATAGAACTTTTTTTGCAGCATTTTTCAGGCTCTTTCAAAAGCATACCTTTCGATCGGGGGTCGTCGAGCATGAATCATCGGTCCGAAAATTTTCTAAGTCCCGTGAAATAGCAAATCGTGTTTGGAGGGCTGTTACTTCCGAACGGAGGCTCGTATCGACCTGGGACTTGGGGCGCTCGACGTTCTACAAAATTGCCTTTTATTTTCCGAAATAAAAAAAAATCAATTTTTTGAAAAATTGGGCGTAACCCTGTAACCCTAGCATTTAGCTTGCTGCCCCACAACAGCTTCGCTACTTTCTTATTTAATTCGACCATTTATACCGGTTAAGACCATGGTATAAATACAATGGTATGCTCTTGCACACGCGACCAATCAAAATTGTCAAAGTGTGACGTCACGGATAAGCAGTAAATTAAAAAAAAAAAATTTAATATAAATTAAACAAAAATATTAATTTTTTTTGTTAAAATATGAGCATTTTTTTCTCTCTTTTAGATATTAACATTTTTATCGGTTACGTAGGTTTGACAGCTTCCTCCGTTACGTCACTTCATGCACATAGTTTAATGACAACAATAATAATAACAACATAACAGATGCTACGAAAAGGATTTATTATTTGTAAATTTGGTTAAATTTTTTTTTTTTTAAATCTATTTTCTACAGCAATATTTTGATTAATTACCCGCACTCTAATGTAGGTTCTTGTCTTAACAAGACTTTTCTTGGCAGTTCGATAGGTTAGGTTTTAATGCAATTTCAATTATCCGCAAGTTTCTTAAATATGAATTTATCTTTCCTAAGATTTGAACCGTGATACTTCACTGAAAAGATTTCACTCAATCATACGTTTTTGAACATAAACATCAAGCACTGAGGGTCACCATGTTTAGTCAAACCGTTCGGATGGTTTGATTGGTTTCGAGTGTGACGTCACACTTTGACTACGCAGTGAGTGAATACGAGATTATCATACCCTTGTATTTATACTATGGTTAAAACGACAATGATTAGAACAAGAATTTATTCTCAAAATATCTCGGGAAAAAAAAACAACTAAGAGTCGCAGGGGGTACGACACACATGACTGCGAATGATGTACTTTTTTTTGTGGTGAAATACATCACTCGCAGCGTTGTAATGCACAGCGTTGTACGATTAGTATCGCAATGTGTGATATGATGTCGAACGTTATTGCGGAAAGGAATTACTGTTACCTTTTCTTTTTTTGCAGAAACGGAGGAGCACTTGTAGGCACGAAAAGATGGATGGAGAAAGAAGAATCGCAAACTGAGACGATACGCGGACGAAGCATCGATACAGCGGCACGAATCAACGAAATATCGCGCGCGCATTTCGCGAACCGTGGTAATGAATATTACAGATGAGCAAACATGATGTAACGAGATAGCCGGCGCCAAACATTAAGGTCGATTTACATGCATCTGAGTAAATGAGGAGATCGATACTTTGATGTATAAAATTTTACCTGGTGGTAGAGGACACTTGGCAGAGAAGGTTGGCATAGGAGAAATTGAGTTTTTTTTCGGAAAAAAAAAAGTTAGACAAAAAAAAATTGAGAAAAATTGAGAGAACGTTGATGTTGATGTTGATGTATAAAATTGTACCTGGTGGTAGAGAACACTTGGTGGATGAGCTAGGCATAGGAGAAATTGAGTTTGTCGATGAGCGTTTTTGAATTTTTTCCGAAAAACGGCAGATTTCCGGATGTTGTATAAAGGAATATGTGGGAAAGGATCGACTTGCGTCAAATGGCATCGAGACTCTAGCGATGACCCCTGCGGAGATATAAAAACAAACAAATTCCTTACAAATTTACGAATTTCGAAAAAGCGCCTCAAAGAATTGAAAGACCTCTCGATGCTCTGCAAATAAGGTCCTATAGTCCGACTTTCCATCTTCCATAGTTTCCGAGTTTTAAGCCCCGATAACAAAAAAAAAAAA